GCCTGTGGAAGCTGTGCCCCCCCCCCGCCCCGATCCCATCAGTGACATCTTGCTGGTGAGAAACTGGATGCTCTGTTCCCTTCCTCCTTTTTGGGAAATCTCAGCCTTTTCTCATACTTGGAAACCTTGAGTCACGTGGTGGGGGCAGATCCTTGCACCCCCCCTGGTTTATCCTCTGTCCCAGGACAGCGGTGGCAGCCAGGTGGGTCTGGGAGGCTCCCTGGTGTTTTGGGAATTCAGGTCTCCGTAGCTGCAGGCTTGTTTTGTAACGTGTTATTGTAGCTCTGCTGGGTGAATCACATCGCAGAGCCTCCTGTGGCAACAGCCCCCGTAGGGACTACGTGTATGGTAGAACCTTTTTGCTGCATCCCAAAAGGATGGATGAGAGCCCGGATCCCAGCATGGCTGAGCCCCAAGGCAGTGGTGGGGCTCGTGGCTGAGGACATTCAGGGGAGATGGAGAAAAACAAAGGGAAGAGCCTCAAAAAGCTTCAAAGTAGATATTTAGGGGAATAACTTCCTTGCAGAGACTTACGAGGCCAGTGGCTCCTGCCGAAGAGGAGCGCGGGAGCTGACTGTGCTTAGTGTGAAGCCAGGGTGCAGGGGCTGTCCCACCATAGTGTCATCTCCCTAGTCTCATCCAGTCCCGCAGCCTCACCGTGGACTCATCACATGAGTGACAACATTTCTCTTTCCAGCCCCGGACGCCAGCTCCCTGCGGCTGTGCCGGGCAGAGGCGTTCGCGGCGCTGGGGCAGCACCCACGGGCGCTGGAGGACCTGGATGCTGTGTGCAGGGCTGAGCCTGGAGAGCATGAGGTGAGCGACAGGGAGGCCCCATCGGCCGGCTGCACTTGGAGCCAAATCTTACTGTACGGGAGCAGTTTTCCCCTTTCATGAATTCTCTTAGTCATTGGATTCATCCTGCTCAGCAATACACTTACCAGACCCATTAAGTTGCAAATCCAGGCTGCAAGCGCTGCGTTGCAATAACGGGAGAGGTCCGGCGCCATGTCCGCCCTCGCTCGCGGGCAGGAGGTGAGGACACGCAGCCGTGCTGGTGCACAGGATCGCAGCTGGGGGCTTGGGGAAGTGTTGGCTGGAGACTGCGCTGCTCTTGGAGAAATCAACCCTGGGAGCTCACTTGCTGATTTGTGAAATGCTCGTTGGCAACAGTTTTGTGGCTTCAAGGCAGAAGCCCTTGACTCCTTGTCTAGGTCTCTGTAGGGTTTATTTGCTTGGCTTTTGTAACTGCGGCATTTTGGGAGTCCTGTTTTATGGATACCTGCCTGTGGAGTGACCTGTGTTTTTTAGACAAGTCTGAGCAGAGGCGCAGTGACCTGTCCGAGTGCTTTGGCCTGGGATGGGAGCAGGCAGGAGCCTGGAGGGAGATTCCCTCCGGGCTCGGATGGGAGCTGAAGGGACACCTGCTCAGCTTGTCACTGTCTCATAGTTACCACAGGTTTTTCTGCCCTGCAGGGCTTCTTCAGGAAAGGGAAGGTGCTTCTGGAGATGGGACAGAGAGCCGAAGCCCTGCTGGCGTGGGAACACTGCCTGACACTCAGTCCTCATTTCCACCCTGCTCGGAAAGAGATGGAGAAGGTGCGTGGGCCATACCGTGACGGAGGGCTGTGCCCTCGCATCACACAGGGAGATGCCCTTGTCCTCTGAAGGATTCACATCCACCACGGCTTGCTGCTCTGGTCAGCCGTGGGATCAAGGGAAGTCAGATCCTGGTCCAAGAGCCTTCCCATTGCTCTGATGCAGGTTCACCGTGAAGAAAACTCCCCTTCCTCAGTCCATATCTGCAAGTCTCAGGTTTAGCAGGGTTTAGATGCCGACATGGCATGAGGTTGGCTTTGAGGCAGCATCAGTACTCGCCCAAGGCAAAGCAGCTAGCCAAAAGCTGCCACTGGAGAGCCAGTGTCTTTTCTGCAGATGATTTCAGGCCAGCACCCACCCGTGTACCAAAATCACCATCACCAGTGGGACCTCCAGCAGTGTCCCCAGCATGAGGACTTCATGCCATGGGTGAACACTTGCCCTCCAGGAAAGGGCAGGGGAATGAGGAATGACCTTGTACTCTCCCCAGTTCGCTCCCTTCCTGCTCTTTGTGGGTGATACAGAACATGGCTCCCAGCCCTTAAAATACAGCATTTTGTTCACAGCCTCATGCTGCTTTCTTCCTTATGTGCTGCTAAGGCATTTGTTTGACAGAGAGCTCAGCCAGCGCTGAAACAAGTAACCCTGACGTGCCCTGTGGTGACCAGGAGGCTGCTTTGGGGAAAGAAGGAGCCTGGCAGTCCACCTACCTCCCTGCTTCCTTCTTGCAGATCCTCATGCGAGAGGATGCTCCTCAGCCGTGCATGGCTGCTGCACGCCTGGGTGATGCTCACCAGGGCTCTGCTGGTCCCCAGGTCGATGGAGGGAGCCCTGCACTCCCACTGTCTTCTGCAGAAGCTCAGGTAAGAGAGCCTGCAGTGATGTGAGTCTGCAGTAGGGCTGAATGTCCCTCTGGGACATCCCATATTGGCGTTTTCCAATGATGGGAAAGGAGGTGTGATAAGGGGACACTGTGCAAGACCATAGCCATGTGCACATGGTTGCCTGCTGGGATGAGAAGCTGCAGGCAGTGGAGGGTGGGAGGGCAAAGACACCGTCGGAGCTGATGCTGTGGGTACTGAGGAAACAGAAGAGGCTCCTTCTGTCTCTGTTCCTCTCCCAGTTTTATTCTGCAATACTTCTGGTAAGATTTTAGACTCTCATGGTGTTTAAAACACCCAAGTCACACTACCTTCAGAAAAAAAAAATAAATTTCAGTTTTAATGGTTTTTTTCATCCAAAACCCACATGGGAGAACAGTTCAGACCATTAGCAGCTATTAAGGAAAGCTCAGCTTTTGGTCTTTGCCCTCTTAGGATGAATTTGGCAGGTTTGAAGAGAGCGGAAAATTGGAGAAAATGGGCTCAGATACACCCAAATACCATGTGGTACATCTAGAGAGAGTAAACCCATGTTTTAACTATGAGCTGAGCAGGAGAGTCTGAAGGTCACACTCTCCTGCTGTCCCACAGATGCAAGATGCTGATATACAGCAACACACCAGAAAGCCTGCTGATGTCATCGGGCTTGGTGGGACAGATGGGGCTGTGCATTCAAAGGGAGAAGAGGTTTTGGGCTTGATTTTGTCTTTGCTGTACCTAGGATCAGGAGGGAGAACCAGCGGATGGCAGAGGGGATGCTCAGACTGAGCATGGCCAGGGGACAGCCACCCTTTCCCAGCCAGGGCGATGGCAAGAACCAGAGACTTTGGCAGAGAGGCAGGGCCTGTGGTTGGTAGGTGAGTGTTGTCAAAGGTAGCAAAATCTCATCTTGTGCAAAATGCTTGTTTAAAATCCATTTTGGCACTGAAAACTTAGTGATTGCACCGTGTCCCAGCTCAGCGAGCAGACATGCAGACGTCCCAGGGGCACACGATGGGGCAGCTCTGGCCAGCACATTTGCTGCTTCTCGTGTGTGTGAGGAGGATCTGATCTTCCTGTGTTGAGCTGGTGAACTTAGAGCGAACTTTTAGGTCTAGCCTGGTGAAAAGTTCTTGCTAAAGCCAGACATCACTTGTTCCCTGTCTGGAGTCAGGGAGAGGCTTCCTCTGGTTCCCATGGGTTTAGATGGGTTTAGATTTCAATTGAATTCCCTTGCGAGGGGCATGACGTGCCATGTGTTGGGGGAAGCGGCACCTCCGTTGGCATTAACTTGCCATCAGCATCCAGCCAGATGGCTGCCACGTACCTAGTTTTGCACAAAGTGGTGATGATGACTCATGGCAAGTCTCCAGAGAGAGACTGGGAGCTTCTTAGGCCACTTCACCTCCCAGTGCCTCAGTTTCCCTGCCTGCAAAAGTAGGTAGGGAGATACCACCTTCCTCTACTGAGGACCATGAGACCCACTGATGTAGAAGCTATGGATGAACACGGATGGGTTAATAGAGGGGTTTATGCTGCATTTCCTAGCGGTTTTGTTTTCACGTGTCAAAGGACTTCATGTAGCAGTTAACTACCTACACCTCAGAACAAGGTCAGAAAGCAAAGATTAATTTTCAGTATTGAAATGGGACGGTCTTCTCTTTCCTTCTCTTTTGCCACTAGGCAACGAAGAGGAAACAGCAGCAGCAAAGTGTACCCAACTGTGCCTCGGGGAGCTGCTGAGCGTGTCTGACTTGGAGTGCTCCCTCTGCATACGGTGAGTTCTCCAATGGGAGAGCGTTCAGGATGAAGAACTGGCACCTGCTGGGTTTTCTTCCCTAGTGTGGATCTTTCTTCACATCTTAATAGCAAACTCAGTCCCCAGTAGTGCTGAATCGCAGGTTTCGGTAGAGATGAGATAAGGGGGGAAGACAGAGGCATGCTTTGCGCTGGCAGGCTGTAAGAGCTCAGATCACCCTGTCTCAGGGTGCAGCATCGTTAGGTCTGTATCGCTTGGGACATCGGCGCGGAGGTGGGGATGTTCAACGGGGTCAGAGACTGAAAGCAGTGGTTGCCCTTTGTAACTGCAGGCTGGAACAGCAAGGTGTTGCCCCAGGGAAATACTATCCGTGAAGTGGGTATTGCAAACCCAGAGGGGAGCATTTCCAAGCTCTATGCCCAGAGATGGAAGAGGGGACCAGGTAGAGCCCCTGTCCGTCTGCTGACTCGGTGGCCAGGGAAGGGCTGGGTGCTGCTACAGGGCGTGCTGAAACCAGGCTGTTATTTCTGGCGTGTCCCAGGACCTCGAGCAGTTGTGCAAGCGGCTGCTGGCAGAGGGCTGGGCGTTGCACCACCGAACATGCAAGACGGTCAAGGTCTTCTGTGCAGTGACTTTTTCCAGGTCTGGGCATGGTGCAGGGGAATGACATGGAAGACAGAGCTCAAAGCTCTGTCTGCTCCGAATTAGGTGAATTTGCATCTCTTCTGAGAGCAAATTGTTCAGGAGGAGTCGGGGCTGAGTGCTGAGCAGGACTTTCCCGAGTCCTTCATTTCGTTTCTGATCCTGGAGCGTCCTGGATGAAACCTGAGTGCTTGCTGCTGGCTCTGCTTTTGGAGCAGGGGAGAAGGAGGCACTTGACCATCACTGCCTTTTGGGCTACGCACCACTGTGGGTGTCCGGGGAGCCGCAGACCTGCCAGGACCAAGGGGTGCCATGTGGGTACTGATGGGGTCTGTGCGGACCCTGCAGGGATGGGGAGCAGTGCTCAGGCCTGGGACAGTTCTCATCTTACATCATTGTGCAAGTCCAACAGTTTGAGCCCAGATTTCTAATTAAAGGGATAAGCCAGTTAGGAACCTTTACATTTAATTAACAGGAGTTACGAGCAAAGATTAGCCAATGCAGCTTTAGCGAAGGCGAGTTTCATAGCCATGGGCTGCCAGGGCTTGGAAGACACAGTGTGAGATAGCTTTCCGTGGCATCACAACCCTGCAGCATCACTGTCTTCAGTGCAGAAGGCTGGTGAAGGCAGCAGATTTCCCTTGAAATGGTAGAAGGGGACATGGGAAATGTCTTGTTCCTGCTGGAAGGAAAATCTCTTGCTCTCAGCAAGGTTATTCAAGGAAGATGCAGGTACAAGGCTGGGGATAGCCAGAAGCTGTACCCATGGCTTTGCCCACCCTGACCTGCTCGACCCTTGCAGCACCAGCCTGGGCCTCTGGAAGTCCCTGAGCACTTTATGGGACCCCTGCACCATGGGGCTGAGACCAGCTGGGGTTTCCAAAGCAGGGTGCTGAGCCAGGCCTGGGGAACCACAGCTTTGAGGGCACCCAGCCCTGTGAACAGAGACTCTGTGAAGTCTGTCTCTGCTGGGCTTACCTGCGCTCCTTCCCCCGTGTTGCTTTCTGTGGTCCATTGACTTTGGTCCCTTTGCAGGATGTTCTTTGAGCCGGTGACAACGCCGTGTGGGCACACCTTCTGCAAGGAGTGCCTCGAACGCTGCCTGGACCACCGGCCCAACTGCCCTCTCTGCAAACAGAGCCTGAGAGAGGTGAGGGCATGTGTCCCATGGGATGGAGCCTGAAGGAGAGCTGGGCACCGGGTCCACCTGCCGGCAGCGTGCCAAGGGCTGGGGTGGGAAGCTGCGATGCTCTTATGTTAGCGGCTCCCTGGCACGGCGGTGTCAGCTCCACTCACATGGGAATGACCAGACAGTTGGTAATTAAGACCAAGAGATGAATTTCCACAAGATGCCATGGTGATTTAGTGAGATTGTAAACAGGACTGAGAGGTAGACAGAGACACAGAAAGAAAGAAGTGAATGCTAATTACTTTTAAAAATGGAAATGGCTGGAAAACCTGCTAGCCTGGAGATTTGAGTTAATCTTTAATGAAAAGGGATTCGAATGAGACCGTCAGGGAAATTAGGTTGTCATACAAGGACTGCATCACTGTCAGAGACAGGACGTTGTGTTGGACGGGCCCTGGGCCTGAGCCACATCTGGAGGTCTCGGTGGAGCTGACATCCCGTCCTGCTAGAAGGCTCAACATCTCCTGATAGTTTTTATCCCTGACTTTCTCTGATCTAAAATTACCCTTGGCTCCAATAAAAGTAAGCGTGATTCAGAGCCCAGCAGGGCCTCAGGTCTCCCCCCCTCCGCTCTTCTCCAAGCTATTTCTGGGTCTAATTTCTTTTAGTACCTGAAGGCTGGAAGCTACAGCCCCACCACGCTGCTGCAGGACATCATGCTGGCCAGCTTCCCTGCACAGCTGGCCGAGCGGCGGGAGCTGCACCGGGCTGAGATGGCAGAGCTCTCCAAGTAAGCAGGGACCCGTTCTGGTGTGTGCATGTGTGTGTGTGTGTGTACGGGGGCCAGGCCAGGCTCCGAGGGGGCTGTCCACACCACACGCCATTGCTCTGGCTTGGGGCTGCTCAACTGATGTCTGTCGCACTTCTAGGACCACGTCACAGGAGTGCCAAGTAGGTGTGGATGTGCCCCGTGGGGCAGCTGGGGATGAGGGAGCATCTCTTCAAGGAGGTATTTTGTGGGCAGAGTCTGTTCTTTGGCTCTTGGTGAGCCAAGTGGAAGCTTTAGTGTTGCTGTGCACTGGAGCATCACTTCCTGGGGTAAGGGACAGATATGGGTCAAGGAGTGGCCATGGCACAAGCTGATGCAGAACCCTTGGGATGAGATTTGCTCTGGGAGGTTTCATAGTGATCTTTCCTCCTGTCCTTCAGCCTGACCAAGAACATCCCCATCTTCGTATGCACAATGTCCTTCCCAGGCATCGCCTGCCCTCTGCACATCTTTGAGCCTCGCTACCGCCTCATGATCCGGCGCTGCCAGGAGACCGGCACGAGGAGGTTTGGCATGTGTATATATGAGAATGGGAAAAGGTGAGCTCCTGGGCAAGACAGCTTCTCTCTGCCCTGACTGATTTGCTCCTCTCTGCCCCAGCCCCAAATTTCTAAAATCCCGAGTCACTTGGAGAGGAGGAACCACGTGCAATTTCCTATCCCACTGCACCCCACAGACAAAATCAGCAGGGAGGTGGTGCATTCCCCACACAGCAGAGTGAAACGGGATCTCGCTGGCTCCTGGCATTGCCACCGGCCAGGCAAGGAATGGGTCCAGGGCTGGAGCTGGGCAGAGCCAGCAGTGGCTGTTAAACACAATGGTCTGGGAACAGCTTCTGGCTCAGGATGTCTCTGAGCTGCATGGTTTCCTGGCTGTGACCTCCAGCTCCTCTTAGTGAGCACTTGAAAATTGCTTTATTTATCATACTTTGTCCTTAACAAGCTGTGAGAGGACGTTGGGTTGAATGGGCTTTTGTTTGGTGCAGTGTGGCCACCCTTATGTTCCTGGTGGCACCTCCAAGATCTTGGATGGGCTCAATCTCCAGGCTTCTAACCCAAGTACTCTGTTAAATACCTGTATTTACATGACATATCCTCCCTGTGCTCCAGTCCTGTTCAAGTGAAATGGGATAAATAACATTTCCTGGGCTTTGGGAGGATGTCTCTGCAAGGGATAGTGTCTTCAGGACTGCTGGACATCAGGGCAGTACGAGGACCTAAGTCATTCTGGTATGTGGCAAATCCAAGGGAGTGCAGGCAATGCTCTCGCTATTCCCTGCCCTCTTAGCAGCAAGTGGTAACTCGGCAGAGTTGAGTGAATCTCCGAATTTGCCCCCTCGCAGCCAGCTTGTTCTTGGGCCTTTTCCTCATTTGGAGGTGGTACCTTCAGAAGCAGCTTTCTCACCACCAGTATCCCAGCTCAGCCCTTCTTTTCTCTCCCTGGCTCCCTCCAGTTTTGCTGACTACGGCTGCATGCTGGAGATCCGGCAGATCGAGCTGCTGGCAGATGGGAGGTCCTTGGTGGACACCATCGGCCGGCGGCGGTTCCGGGTGCTGAGCCGCGGCCACAGGGACGGCTACAACACCGCCGACATCGAGTACCTGGAGGACAAGAAGGTGAGGGCAGGGCCAGGGCAAAATCCCCCCACTGCGGTGGGACAGAGCCTCCCACGGACACCTTCTGCGTTCCTCTTCCCTCCACGCAGGTGACTGGGGAGGAGCTGGAGGAGCTGCAGTGCCTGCACGAAAGCACCTACCGCTTGGCTCAGCGGTTCTGTGAGCACAGGGACCTTACCTCCAGGCACATTTTCATGCAGCATGGACCGCTGCCGGAGAAGGAAGAGGACATCCAGGTAATGCCCCGAGGGAAGGGATGCTCTAAATAGAGAGGGTACCAAGAGAGCCTCTGAAGCAGCACCGTTCCTGCGCTAACCACCCAGCTTCCCTGCTTGGCTCACCCCCAAGATGAGGAAAACAAACCCTGTTTTTCATTCCCATTACCAGTTACGGCATCTCTCGCTTAGGGAGATGGTAGGGCTTGTTTGTTAAAACTGTTTAATGTTTCTTTATGGTTTTAAACTGTTCTTGGAAATTGAGCGCTGAGTTTTAAAAGCTTTCCCGGCGTCTTTTCCAAATGAGAACCAAGAAACAGAACTGTCTGGATTTGAAAACACTTGGGAAAAAAAAGAGCAAACAAATGGGCGAAGAAGTGAACCCCATAGCTCAGCGAGTCTGCGGTCTCCTTACTCATTGTGTTCCTTTGAGACAGCCATAGCTGGCCAGAGGAGAGGAGCTAAGAGGGCAGGATCCAGTTTGCTTATTAAGTTACTTTGACAAATTCAGATTGTGGAGAAAAAAAAAATCCCCCAAATTTAGTGTGCAGTCCTTTAAGAAAATGTTTCCTGTCTGGATCATTACAAATATGCTCTTGTGGGCTTGTCCCAGGCTAAGGCTGTCCTGGCCAGCAGTCACATCAATGCTGTGCTCAAAATTACCTTACTCTTCCTCCTTCAGCTGAATTGACCATTTCCCTCTTATTTTGGCCCAGGTTTTAAAAAAGCCAGTTTACAAAAGCAATGCATAGTGGTCGTGCTTTTCTGGCCTGCACCTTGCCTCTTTGACTGATGATGAGGCAAATGCCCCAAAAGACACCGACCACACAGGATTTGCCCCATGTTTACAAAAAGTATTGCCTTAAACAAGGAAATGCACAAGATATTTCTTTGTCTCTTTAGTATAGACTTTTTCCTGGTTACATCTGTGTCTGGGGACTCCCTGGGGAATGCTTGTCTGGAAGTTAAATTAGTTTATCCAGCAGTTTTGAGCCTGGACAGACAAAAGGGCCATTCAGAGGAATACCTTAGCCAAAGCTGGCATTGCTGTCCTGACAAGAACAACTGTTTCCCATCAGCGATGCTGCCCAAAGGCCACACATACACCTTGCGGTTCCTGACGTGGGGGTCTCTCCCTCTCTCCCCTCCAGGCTTCGGCAGATGGCCCGACGTGGTGCTGGTGGCTCATCTCCATCCTCCCACTTGACCCGTACTACCAGCTGAACCTCTTCTCCACCACCTCCCTGCGTGCCCGCCTTACCCAGCTGCAGCGCATCCTCACCGCCCTGCTGCAGCAGCCCCCCGCCGGGCACCCACTGCCCCAGCACAGCTCCCGGGGTCGTGTCTGAGCCCCCCGGCCCCCGTCCTCTCTGCAGGGGAGACCTTCACCCCCTTGGGTTTCTCTATGTGTTGCTTTGTGGTTTTGCATGTGGTTTGAGCCCCCCCCTAAAAGTGACCTCAGCCATGAGCTGGGAACCCTCTGCCCAGCTCGGTGGGGCCGATGCTACACCGGCAGCGACACTATGCCGTCCATGCTGCCTCCGGGAGCTGCTCAGTGACACGACTGTGCCATGCCACCAAAACGGGGACCGAGGTGGAAAGCTGGGTTGCATTTCAGGAAACATTTGCTGAGCTGCTTCGGCACTAAGAAGGATTATCGTTAGGGCAGAGGACCGAGTGCCAGGATCGCCTCGGTTTTGGCTCTTCCACTTTGAAGGACAACGTAGGGGTTTTTGGTAGATGGTCCTGCTCTGTGCAGCAGATTTAGAGGCTTGAGGTGGCACTGGGAGGCAGAGAGGTCCCAACGGCTTCCCTCAGCCTCAGGAGCTGACAGCTCTACCTCTGCTTACGACTTTGACTTAATTTCTATTCAAACAAGAAGAAAGATTAAATTAAACAATCTGAAACTCATGGTCCTGCTCCTAACCACCTCCATGGCCACACAGCAAGGAGAGGCTTCTCTCTGAATGTGCCCAGGTCTGGACATCCCCTTCCCACCGCTCTGCTCGGTGCTTTGCTGTGTTTGCTGCGCCGAGCTCGCTGGCCGCTTCCTTGGGCTGGAGCCGTGCTGGAGGCTGCCGGCCGCTTCCCCCGCTGCTGCTTCCCCTGCCGTGAAGTGCCGTGGCAAGTTGCTTCCACTGCCGTGAAGTGCCGTGGGAAGGGGGGGATCTGGCAGCATTGGTGCTTTTCCCCCCACCCAAAGATTGCTGTTCCTGAGCCTGGCTGGGTTCAGGTTGCAGAGTTGGACCTGGGGGCTGGAGGAGTTGATGGCATGAGGGAGTTAAGCCTGCAAGTGATTTTGTGAGACTTTCTGCTCCTTGACTGGTGCAATTTTCCCAAGTTCAGGGTTTCTTGTGAACTTTCTGCCTCCTCAGGAGAAAATCAGGATCTGAGCTGAGGCTGGATCCTTGCACTTGGGACCCAGAACAGTTCAGGATCCCCCCAAAAAGCACAGAGTGATGTCAAAGGGAGCTGAACCTCTGGAGAGCCAGGGAGGGGCCAGGATCGGTGACCGAGGCTGTGAGCCCCATGTCAGGGGAGCAAGTTCCAGTCTGCAAGTCCCTGGCTGCTGCTTGTCTCTAAAGACAGGGAAAACAGTATCCCCCTGGACAGCTTAGGCTTTCTGCCATGGAAATCCTGAAGGTTTGGGATTATCCATAATTTTAGAGGCTTTGGGCTGAGCTTTAGGAGTGACATCCTAGTTGTTGGATTAACATTGCTTCCATACTGTGGTAGAGAAAAATCAGATTGGGGCTACAGTGCTCCTTACTGCAGGTGTTGCTGGGCTGAGCCTGGGGCAGGAGGCTCTGGGCACAGCTCAGGAGAGGTCCCTGCCCAGGGCCACCGCCTTTCCCCATCCTGCTCTCTCCAGCAGTGACAGGTCTTGGTCCCTCCTCTCCAACAAAGTGCCTCCCCGGAGCAACCATCAGGGTGAGCTGAGGGCTTGCTCCCCAGGGACCATAGTGAGTGCAGTGCGGCTGAGGACAACTCAAAGCTGGATTTGCTCCACTACCTTTGAGCTATGTCCTTCCCCGCTTTGCTGCTCTCTCTGGGGCACCATGACTCCCCCAAGGGGCTATATCCCTGGGATGTCAGATTGGGGTGGGCAGGGGTAGGTGATGGAGGGCTACCTTGCAGTCCCGGGGCGGGTGCATGCAGGTGGCAGGGTGCCACCGAAGTTTGGGAAGTGCCTTTCTTTTCTGTATGGTCAATGTGAGCTCACCCAATGACACTCTCCGCCCTGAGCCCCTCACCTACCTCCCAAGTTACCCATTCCCCAGATGTGGGAGCTCCCTCGGCCGCTGCGGGTCCCTCCAGCAAGAGGGAGGCATGGTGAATGCAGGGGGGAAGCGTGGGTCTGCACCATGTCCACGCTGGGGGAGAGTCGGGGACCAGAGCCACATCTGCCCGGCTGCTTTGGGAAGGAACTCATCCAAATTGCTCCGGTTTGCTTGGAGTGCCTTTGGGGTTTGTGTTTGTATCTTTGTTCTTTGAATTAAATTTTCTTCCTGGTCATTGAAATAAAGACTTTTTTTTGTTGTTGTTGTTGTTCTGTTGCTGGTGTTTAACTTTTAGCTGCTCACTGTTGAAAGTGCCTGGGCATCACCAGGGAGATTTGGGGACGCGTGGAGAGGTGACACCCTGGCCTTCAGACAGCAAGTTAGACACAGTGAACAAGGTCCAGCACAGGTAGATGGCAACAAGGGAAAAAAAAAGGTGGTTTTGTTCACAAAAAGTGACCACGTGAAACAAAGCAGGAGGGACTAGCTCCTGCCCATCATTGCAACTGAAGGCTTTGGGGAAGGATGGGAACCGGGAGACCAGTCTGGTGGAGATGCTGACCAGTGTGGGATGACCCTGGAGGGTGTTTGTCCCTTGAATGCTGTGGAGAGCACCTGACTCTGTCCTGCCTTTGCAACCGTGGGCAGAAGGCTGTGACCTGGGAGCAGGTTTGCTTTTGACAGCTGGCATTAGGGATGAGTGACGATCCAGGGAGAGACGCACGGGCTTTAAAATGGGAGAGTGGCCCTGGATGGAGAGGGGATGGTCTTCAACCTCAAGCATGGGGATGTCCTGCTGGGACAGCTCTCACCTCTCTCTTGCTCCCACCTCACCTCTTCCCTCTACCTCCCAAATGTGCCATCCAAAACCAAGGGCAAGAAGGGAAGTTCCTCTGCCCAGCTCTGCTTTACACTTTACCTGGGAACCTGGAACAATTGTAGAAGAGGGGGAGAGGGCTCAAGTGGTCTGAAATGGTGGATAACCCTAAAAAGGTCCCATGCCTCAGAGCAGGGTCTCTGCCAGGCCATTAATAACTGGCTCCATGAGGAATTATACCTTGAATTTCACCCCTAGCAATTCTCTATAGACTGGTGAAGCCCAACTGTGTGCTGTAGCTGATGCCAGCCCCTGCCTGCAGCCTCACCTGTGGCCGTGGCCATGGCTGATGCCCCAACCTCCTCCTCCACACAAGGTGCAGAGAGAGCAGAGACATCTGCCCCAGGAGCAGCCCAGCCACCAGCATCCTGCCACTGCCCCACGGAGGGAGCGGGAAAGGAGCCACTGTCATTTACAGAAAAGGGGTACAGAAAGCCTGGTCCAGGGTCAGAAGGTCCGGTGAGCACATTGCCCATGGGGACCTATTGAGAGATGCCAGCCCTCCTCATTTTTTGAAGAGGACTTTCTCATCCACCCCTGGGCTCTTTGGTGGCCCCAGCAGCCCAGGCCTTGCGTCCAGCCAGGTGGCTATCGCGTGTCTGTGTGTCTGGGAGTCTGGAACTGGTACTGCATCCCTTTGCCGTGTTGCCCGGCTCCCACTAGATGTCAGGAAGAGGCTGAGTGCGGGCAAAGAGGAAGGCACAGCAGAGGGGATGTGCAGCATCAGCTGCTGCCAGAGCCTTGGCCGTGCTTTTCTCACCCCCAAGCCCCAAAAGCAGCCCCACTCTCAGCCCTGACCCTGGCCCAGCTGCCCTGAGCTCTCCATCAGGACAGAAATGAAGCTGAGGACTGGTGCAAGGCATCACTTGAGGCCCCCTCCAGTTCCCCAAGCGCAGCGGGTCTGTGCCGGAGGATCTTCTCTCCACTCTGGCCAGCAAGGTCTTGTTTGCCCTCCTGGGACTGGGGCAGTTGGGGGGGTGTCCTCCTTCCCACCCTCCTCCAGCCACCCTGCTGGGCATGGTCTTGGCTCAGAGGTGGGAGATGAAGCAACCCCTTGTCCCAGTACACAGCTGGGGCAGAACAGCATCCCACGACCGCTTGTGAAGGCAGACCAGGCATCTCCCAGCCCCACTGGGATGATCAGTTGTTTCACTGAGCAGTTAGGGTCTGGATGAGGGCAGTTGGGAAAGATCCAGCGATTTCCACCCTGCCACCCTCCCAACACTGCCCCAAATGCCTGCCTGGGTGAGGGGACCCCAGTGTCCTTACCATCAGGTGGGACTGTGAGGTGGATGTTGGGCTCATTACTATCCCCACCAAACGATCCCCTCCTGAGATGCTCTACTCTTCAAGGTCCATTTTGCATCCAACTTTTGGTCCCAGGCTGCTACAACCTGACTCTGTCTGTGGGGACACAGAGGACCTGGGGCAGCCAGAAGCAGCTTCTTCCTCATCTCCAAGGGCTCCTGCTTCACCTTGTCCTCCACCACGAGCCTGCAGAGAGGCTGGATCTGGTCCTGCCTGGGACAGCTGGAGCTGGCAGCTACAGACACCTCCAGCCTCTCTGCCTCGGACTTGGTGGCAGTGCACGTGGCAGCTTTACCCCCAAATCAGCAGCCAGAGCTGTGAGGAGATGAGTCCATCTCTGCGTAGGTTCCTTGGTGGCACTCAGGACCCAAGGGGAGACGAGCAGCCCAGCCCTGCAGCACAGGAGGTCCTCATGCCAGTGCCACTGCACTTTGCTTTCTGCTGCTCGGTTTTGTTTCCTCCCTGTATTTTTCCATCTCCATGTGCGCTCCTCTCCTGTGCATCCCACCACCACCTAGTAATGATTTCTGGCTTTTATATAACACTCCTCATCAGAGTTTTTTAAATGGACATCTGTAACCTTCTCCGGATTTTACAGGCAGGAACTGAGGGTGGGAAGAGGCAACATGTTGCCCAGGGTCACCCAGCAAGGTCCCTGGTAGTCAGGGGACCACTCTCCAAATGGGTGCCTTTTCTGACCCCATCCAGCTCCCACCTCTGTGGCTACTGGGACCTATCCTGCACCTGTTTTTTACATCCCTGGGAGGTGTAAACCAGCACTAGCACTGGCCCTGCTTCCATCCCCCCAAAACCTGACCTCCTCTCCAACAGCACCATTTCCTTCCTTCCCATTCAGTACCTTCAACTCAAGACATTGGTGACA